TTTGATATTAGCATTGAACTCCATAAAATTAAATTACTCTCAGGGGTTTTAATGAAACTCATAAAATTAAGGACCATCAGAATTAAGGTTTAAACTGTTCTTTACCCAGAGTTATAAAGAAAGATACAATAATTGGAGAAGGTGGAGATGAATTTTTCCATTTCTAATTTCAAGCAGATTTAGAATCAATTCCACTTCGAATGGTAACTTATTAGGTTAGCAGTGTGACCCTAAGCTCCCAGGATTACATAGTGACCATAGGCGGTATGGTGGAAGGATTACGTAAATACTCGACAGACCGCTAAGTGCCTACACATCTATTTTATGCAAGATGAAGTGAGTCCTATGATGGTTCTCATTCTTCAAAATCACATCCATGGGTTTTCATCACTTGGATTTGGGTATAGAAACAAACACAAACTCACACGATGACAGGGACAAACTGTGCTGTTGAGAACCAAACTGCATGAGTCATGCTTTAGGCAAAATCAGAATCTTCCCAACCTACCCCCCATTCTGCAACCTATAGCCTTTTCCTTTCTGGGAAAGCCAGGACTTTATTCATTGTTTTTAAAAAGTCAATATGATAGTCTAGATACAGAAAAGCTTTTGAAAGGCAAATAATGGCATCCCAAGTTCCCCGCGTCCCAATCCCCAGAACCTGTGAATGTTGCATTATATGGCAAAGGGACTTTGCAGATGGGGTTAATTTAAGAATTTTTGAGATAGGGAGATGATCCTGGATTATCTGGGCAGGCCCTAAATGTAATCTCAAATGTCTTTACAATAGGCAGGTAGAGGAAGTCTTGACTACAGTAGAGGAGAAGACCATGTGATCACAGAAGCAGTCGGGAGCCAAGGAATGTCGGCAGCTTCTAGAACTGGAAGAAGAAAGACATAGAGTCTCCCGTGGAGCCTCCAGAAAGGACCTCTAGAAAGGCTGACACCTTGACGTTAGCCCCATAAGACTCATTTTCAGAAGTACAAGAGAACATATTTGTGCTGTATTAAGCCACAAAGTTTCTGATAATCTGTTACAGTGGCAACAGGAAACACACACAAGTTTGATCCACTACAAAGTCCACCCCAAGATTAAGTTATCTTTGTACTGAGGACAAACCAAGGGTCTGACCCCCACTCTGGCTTGGCATCGAGGCTGCCAGCTTCATCAGGACCTGGACTCCTCCTTTGCTGGCACTTAGGCAGTTCCTACAGCTGTCCTCTTTAGGGAACAGTAATCCAACAACTCGACAATGTTGCCGATTTTTTTTAACATTGAGCTTGATTTAAAAGTCACGTTTTGAGGAGTTGAATAAATGTAGTGCTTTAAAATGAACTGTGATATTATTTATGGCTTATAGAAGAGAGATTGCATTTATTTGAAAACATTAATTTATTAAGAGGTTTCTGAAATATATAGCTTGTGACTTTTCCAAACAGCATTCTCTTGATCAGGTAAAATGATTGCTTTGTAGTTGCCACTTACCATTCAATAAATGTTTGCAGGATGTCAAGGATTTACAGTGCAAATTTTAGACCCAGTTTTTGAAATAGTTATTTATTTGGTCTGCCATAATGAGAGGAAGAAGAAATAAGATACTTTAGATAAACTATGGGAATGATACATAAAACGGTTTTATCTGGGGTCTCCGGACAGTAATTTTTTATTACAAATGTGTTAAGAGAATTTTTTGTTCCTCTCTCTTTGATCCTCCACCAGGAAACACCTTCCAAGTTTTTCTCTAACAGTTTCCATCTTTCCCTGCCCTATCACTGGACTCGGGATGGCCACCACTGGACCTAAGTCATTAAAAATCTAGAAAAACTCAGTATCAGGGGTAAAAAGCAGACTCAGTCTAGCCACATTAACCGCACTGAAAGGTGAGCCTCAGGATCATCTTTCTAGCATCAGCCTATTATCCATTAATTCACTCAACAAACACCTTCATTTTATGCTGTGCAATGTCACTGAGACAGACAGAGGGTAGAACCAAGAAATCCTACCCAATACTACATAACTCTATTAGGTAATGACTGTCATTTACTGTGCACTTCCTATATGCCAGGGATGCTGGTAAATCACATTACATAACTTAACAAATATGTCCTGTGAGATAGTTATTATTACCGCCTACTTACAAATGAGGTAGTTGAGACTCAGGAGATGAGAAATTCACCCAAGTTTTGAAAAGTAGTAGTTCAGTGGCAATACTTTAGTTCAAATTCTAACTATACAAAACTCGGGGTCCTAACTTCCTTGATAGAATAAAACAATTTAGTTGCCAGAGGAAGAAGAGGAAAGGGCGTGGCACGAGAGCATGGACAACATCCTCTCAGTGATAGGGAAGACTGTGTGAGAGTAGAAGGACTTAATCGAGCCTGTGAGGACTGAGACGGAACTGAATTTATGCCGATGGTCCAGGGGGTCATCGCAGGCAGAAGGAACGACCACAGCAAAGACACTAAGGTGGGAATGCATGGAACACATGGAGGGGAAGGCTCAGGGTGGCCAGATGTGCAGGTCAGCCCCAGGAGCATCACTTGGTGCCAGATCGCAGCGATTGCTATGGCAGAAGAAGTGGAGAGCTAGCTTCAAGCAACTGGTCAAGATTAGCTGGGGAAACGGGACATACCTCTGTTGACCAGAGTTCTGCTGCAAGCAACCGATTAACATATTCAAGCTAATATCAGGCATTAACTATTGGACGGGGAAAATCCTAGGGGCTTTTAAATAATTAGTATCACACAAACTGCAACATAATTGATGTCAATAAAGAGTGATACTCCAAATAAGTCTTCTGTTATTTCTGGAGCAAACCACCTCTGCTCTTGATTCCAAAGAAAACAAGTGATGTGCTTTGGCCAGGAGCCAGGGTTGTGAGTCAGAAAACACCAATATCCCTGCCCTCCAGGAGTTACAGGACTACAGGGGAATGTGATAGGCTACATTGTTGCTCACAATATTTGCTGCCCCTCCTTCCCATCGGAATATAATATATCTCCACTTAGGACTACTTTGGCTACAGGTAGAAACAGTGTTTCTAGGCAGAAGCATTAAAGCCAAATGTGATCACACTTACATGTGGAATCTTAAACAAACAAACAAACAAAAATGAACTGAGACACAGGAAACAGAATACTGGTGGTTGCCCCAGGGGCAAGGGTTAGGGGAGAGGCAGCAAAATGGGTAAAGGTGGCCGAAAGACACAGACTTCCTAGTTATAAAATAAATAAGCCCTGGAGATGTAATATACAGCATGATGACTATAGATAATAATTCTGTATTGTATATTTGAAAGTTCTCATCACAAGAAAAAAATGTTTAACTGTGTGTGGTTTTGTTTTGTTTCACTTGACTTTGCTTTACATTTAGTGCTGAGTAAAACTGAGGCGTGACAACTGACTAATCAGCTGGGCTGAGCACACCAACTATCCTTCCCTCGTTCTCTCCTTTGCACCTGACCCTCAGTCCCCACACACTTTAAAGGTCTGTCGTCAAGGACCAGCGGAAGTGCTGCAAGGCAGTGAGTAAGCCACTCATTCACTCCGCGCACCGTCACTGAACACCTGCCCCGTGCAGGCTGCATGAGCACCAGAGACTCAGAGATGGAAAAAGAGTCCCCGAAGCTTCTCCACATCTAGTGAAAGCTCAGCCCGGAGCCACTCAATCCCAGTGGACTTACCTGGGTACTCTGGGCTAGCAAAGGGCACATGGCACATGAAAGAGAGAGATCTAGGGGACCCGGCCATGGGAGGATGGAGGAGTGGTTATCAGGAACTACTTCCTGGATGAAGTGAAATCTGAACTCGGAAGAAAAAGAGTTAACCAGACAAAGGGAGGTAGGAACCACCACTTGCAAAAGTGCAGAGCAGTGGGGCTTGGCTTCCAGAGAGCTGCCCTGTCTGGACAGACAGTGAGACAGGAGGGTGGGGCAAAGAGAAGGGAAGATTGAGAAAGGCCTTATAAGCCACATGAAGAAGTCTGGATTTTATCCCATAGCCAGTCAGAAAGCTGGGCTGCGGCATGGTCAGACTTGCATTTTGAAAAGATTTCCCTGGCAGCTCCAGGAAGGATGTGAGAGGGGCTGGCGGCTCTTGGATCAGGGAAGTTAGGTAGAAAGCTCTTTCTATAATCCAGGTGAGAAACTGAGAGGCTCTGAACTGAGACAGGACCTGTTTGCTGCCCTGAAATATGAAGGAAATAGAGATTCTCAAAGACATTTAAGGAGGAAATTAGCTCATAACTGGTGAACCGCAAGGCCAGCAAGGAAGCACCCAAGCTTTTCTGTTCCACTCTGCCTCAGTGAAGAGCTCTGAATTTTTTACATTCATATTGTAGCTTTTGCAATTAAGTTCCAAACTCACAACTTGATTAGTTATAAAATTATTCTCCTACTCTTTTCCTCTTTAGAGGCCCCTTTCTCCATTCACACTTGTAAATATGTTCCTAACAAATGTGTTCATTCATTCATTCATGCATCCCACAAATGTTTACTGACTACCCATTATGTAGAAGGCACTGTTCTAGGTGACGGGCAGATAAGAAAAACAAAACAAAGTCCTTGCCTCATGGAACTGGCAGCCTACATCATAAATATATAAATACATAAATAATTACAAAACGCAGAAATCTTTGAACGAACAGTAACAGAATGCCAAATCAAGAATAGCAGCTGTACATGTATACTCATAGAAATGTCCTGGAAGGCTCACCCAAAAAGTCAATCAGTTGAGATGTAGGCATTAATATATTTACATTTATTTTATATCAGTATCATTCTAGGAAAAAAGTTATTGGTACTTTTAGGCTGGTGCTATTACCCCAAAACACTAGCATTTAAAATACAAGGTCACATTCTCCAAAGAGCAAGCAAGGCCTCCAATTGAAGGGGCAGGAGTGGGAGGTTGGGAATAGGGAACTCTAGCCCTTTCCATCTCTGGGCTCACTGAGGCCATAAAGCCTCAGGGGATCTCTGCAAGGGGCTCACTGGAGCACTTACTTCGGTATTGACTGAGCATCTCAAACAGGTCTCGCAAGAGGTCATGGTGAGACTGGGTAAAGGTGATACACTTAGGGCTGAGTTCTGAAGTTAGACTGACTTGCACAACTGCGGCTCATTTTCCTGAAACAGAACCAAAATCCTTATTAAAGCTTTCTTTTTAAAATGTTACCAGTTAAAGAGAAATTCAGTGAGTTCTGCCTTAGTCCTGAGTTCTCTTTGTTGATAGCTAGAAGATCGAAGTTCCAGATCACTCACCCAACGGCGTCAGTGCCAGGCCTTTCTGCAGCAGCTTGTAGCTCCTGTCACCTAAAGGTAAAGAGTGTCGCTAGAGAGCTGAGCCCAGGTCCCACCGGGGGTCCCACTGGACTCACAGCTTTTCTGCAGATTGTGGAGTCTGCTGACAACTGGGCTCTGGCCACCAACCCACAACCAGTAGGACAGTGACCACCCTCAGCCACCGGCCAACAAGGTTGGATTTAAACCATTGACCCATAGGTAAAAGGCCCTCTACTTGATCTTGGCTCTTCCACACCACCGTTTCATCTGTCATCATTTCCCCAGGCCCAATAATTTGATAAAAAAGGATTTGATTAAGTACAAGATTTATGAGATTCCACACTGAGACAAATGGTAATTCAATAGAAGCCCGTTCTAGAAAGAGGGCTAGAGTATGAACAAAATTCTCTATTCCTTTATCTACATCTCTACATTCACACACACATACACACACACACACACGCATGTACACACATACCCACACATACCGTTTGGCAACTTGTCACTCAGAAAGACTAATGATAATTATTCACTTTGCACAGTTGGCAGATATAACAGGACACTACTTTGGCAGTGATCAAAAATCATCTTCTTTTATGGTTCCTAATCAAAAATTTATTTCCCATTGACTAACCCCAGGAAAAGGTTATCATCTACTTCAGTCTGTACTTATTTCACTACTAACAAGAGATCCTTTTCTCTCCCATCCTCGGCAATGCAGAATTACCATCATTCCCAAGACCTCTTTGGGTTCCTTGACCAGAAGAGGCATTTAGCTATGTCATCCATGATGTATTGCACATTTAATTGCACTATGCAGCTATTCAAAAAGCATTCAGAAGTAATCATTTAGCATTAATATCCCAGGGCAATCCAAGGTCACAGTACATTAAAAACTAATTCACAGTGGTTCAAGAATGCATTTTTCATATATGGAGTAACATAATTCTTTTATGATAAAAATGATAGTGGTGTTACAGAATGATGAGATACAAGATATTCTGAATATCCATCATTGGACCTACTGTACAAAGGGCAAAGTCAGACCTTTGTTCTTCTCATAACTCAACACACCACTAACCTGTATTAAACACTATTGACCATGTTAACCTTTTATATAACTGACCATGTTTTAAGGAGCAACAGCTCCTTATTTATTATCATAGACAATACAACCATTTAATACTTATTGTGATCATTTCACTCTCAAACTGTATTATCTTTTATTTTCTATGTCATTCTATAAGAAATTATAATATCCCCATGGGTAACTAAAGGTTTTTAAAATTACACACACACACAATTGTGTGTGTGTGTAACCTATCAATTGTCTTCCAGGAATGCTGTGGGAGACGAAATCATTATAACTTGCATCAAACATCTATCATGCTGAAACAATAGTGTCCTGAGGCAAGAGGCCCTCCATACAACATGGAATGGGCAGGCTCCATCCTCCAGAGCCTATCATCTCTCACACCCCATATACCATTCAGCAGGCAACATATCAGGAATTATTTCAGCGCTTCACAGGCAATATTGTCGTTTGTGAATATGCTAAGCTCTGCAGCCAAAGATACCAGATTACATTACCAACCCAGCGTGGGTTGTTTTTTTTTTCCCCTATTTCTTTATATTTCACCTCCCAAAATCCATCTTTCCAATCATTCCCTCTAGACTGGACCAAAAGTCATAAGTTTTGTCCTATTCAGAGGGTCATTCAAAAGGACCAACAAGTATTATCCTAACCTTGCAGTTAGGACACCATTCTAGAGCTGAGATTGGGCATACCTATAATGGAGATAAGATATCAAATCACAAAGCTCAAATAAAGTGTAAGCTTTGGCCAGTGATAACAGAAAACTGGAACAGGTACTACAGGACTAATGGTCAAAGAACAATACAGATGTTCAAGTGCTGAGTTCAGAAGCAATAACATCACTGGTCTCCACCTGTCCTTTCCGTCGGCCTCCAGGACACCCGCGCTATAGTTCCTAGAACGTGTGTTCATGATTCACCCCCTCAGCTGCCTTTCTCCAGACCCCTGAGACATTCCTTTTCCAGCACTGAAAGGGAAAGGAAGAGCCCTAAGGATATGATGAAATAAGAGACATGAATGAGATCTGGGAAACCATCCCAAAGGTGAGCAATGGGATAGATCATTTAAACTATTAGAAACCTCTATATTCAAACAATTTTTTAACACAAAAAGCCAACTTTGAGTAAATTAGGGAAACTACATGCAGTAGTTCTGACTGCATGTACTTTAAATAGGAAGGTCTCTACATCTGTATAACTATCAGCTTTCCTAGCTGCAGTCCATAAATCCACAGGCCAATGAAACCTGGGGGATTCCTCAAACACATAAACAAGGTGCTTGGGCCTCTTCCCCTCTTGGTGATGAAGACTGAAGCATTTCTCCCTCCCGTTCTTCCTTTTTTTCTTTCTCCCTTTTCTCTTCCTCTTACCTGATTCCTTACGAATGTACTTTGAGGACTAGAAGGATCATATCAAACTCAGAAAGGGAGAAGTCAGAAGAAATGTAATAAAATACAGTTAGTAACCCAAAAATTTCACAAAGGAGGCACTGCTACATTAGATCAGTCTCCACTGTTTCCAAGTAGCCGGCTTCTCCAACACAGGTCCTTGGGGTCAACTAGTAAGATTGACTGAAACACATAAATCCAACATTAGCACTGATTGGAGTCTGCATTTTAACATTTCTCATTTGAAGACTATCTTAAATGTGCATACCCTGACCCTTCCCACCCTCCTATCAACCCGCAGTCTTAGACAAATCTTATACAGAGTGTTAGCCATATACTGGCCTCCCTCAGAAGCAGAGCAAGGGAAGCAGGACTTCCTAATAAAATAAGTTCCTTATAAAATGAAATAACTTCAATAATTCCTTCAGGCACGTTTACTGTTATCCTCACCCCCTTCAATAGCATTATCAACATCAAAATCTCCATGTGTCTATATCCCTAGCAAATGATACAGAGAGAAGAAAGCTGGACAAAAGTTGTTAATGTCTGTCACTATCAAGCTTCCTGATAGTAGACAAGTCACTTCTTTTCACCATCTCTAAGATGAAAGTGTTGGATAAGCTAATTTCCCTTCTAGATTTAATTTTCTATAATTTTTTATTCTAATTTAAAACATTATCACTGGACAAAACCTACCCACTTGGACACAACTGATCATGGAAAAGTTGATTCAGACACTAGCATGTAAAAGCTAAGAGGGTAGTCTTACCTTAAATATGAAGGTACCTTAAATATGAAGAAACTGGCCTTCTAAACAGTTTAATTACTTGCCTGACCAAGGTCAGTAAGTTTATGAGCAGTGGGGTCAGTAATCAAATCCTGATAGGGTTGAACAGAGACTATGGGGTCAGATCTGGATTTTAATTTTGGTTTTACTACTTGCTGTGTGACCTCTGGCAAGTTGCTTAAGCTCTCTGAGCATTGATTATTACAAACGATAATAGTATGTTACATACATCTCAAGATTGTTATGACTTAACACGAGTGAATAATACCTAGTTAGTGCCTGACACATAGTAGGGGTGCAGAAGGGTTAGTTTCTTTTCTTAGCTACATCATGCTGCTCATGGTATGCCAAAGGGAAGGTAAGTATTATATCTAACTCTGAGTACTTGTTAGCAGCCATTGCTGTAGTGTCTGGCGGACTGGGGTTTAATCTCTGTGTCCTACTGCCCTCTTCTGGATCTCAAACATCAGATCGGCTTTTGAATTCAGTTTATTGGCTCCTAATTGAGCAAACCCTGGACATGACTCTATAATGCCTACTCCAGAGATGCAATGCAAGCAATTACTGGATGCAACAGGTGTACGTTTCCAGCAGAAAAGATAACATGATTACTAACTGCCGTAGTTGGTATGTCGAAGTTCTGATGAAGTGGCTTAAAGCACACTTCCTTTCATGTGCGTGCTAGGTAGTCTAACTCTGACAGTTCCAAGTTAGTCACAAACACTGGCCGAATGTGTGGAGAAACAGATACAAGTAATCCACACAACACTTTGAGATGGACTTGGAAGGGAATCCTGACCTAATTAAGGTTAGTCATAGCTCCTAGACGAACTGTTCTAGGAACTATTGGTTTTAGTGCCTATTTCTGCAAGCTTTTAAACCTTTATTTATTCACACAAATACAATCCATCTGTTTCTAATTCACTTACATCTTTTGTAACAAACTGTTGTTTTATACCAAGTTGATGTCCAAAAAGCCAAAGACATCCTTATAAGTGGTTCAAATGTTTAGAAGTTTTTCTCAGGTAAACATGGTGAAATGTATCAAATGCATTATAAAATATTTGAGGTCCAAGTAGTAGGCATATCAAAGAATAATTTACAGAGATTTGAAATATTGGAGAGTAACACTCATTTCAGGCCAACACTAAGATTCAAATTTCTACCTAAAAATGAACCAAAAAGAAATAATCTGTTGTGCTACTTGATGGTTTACCACAGCTATAAGTATATGAGTAACCCAAATTTTATTTTTGAGAAAAATGCAGGAACAACTACGGTACCTTATACTTTTCACACTCAAGATTAATTTTTAAGTTGGCTGTACTCTATATCATTACAACTTTAGAAAAAAATAATAACTCTTGACTTGGAATATGAATGGGTTAATGGGTTTGATGGATGGATGAATGGTTCAACAGAAGGGATATCCTTAGAATTTTTAAAATTCAGCATATTTGGGGGGTACCTGGGTGGCTCAGTCGGTTAAGCATCTGCCTTCGCCTCAGGTCATAATCTCAGGGTTCTGGAATCGAGCCCCACATCGGGCTCTCTGCTAAGCAGGGAACTTGCTTCTCCCCTCTCTCTGCCTGCCTCTCTGCCTACTTGTGATCTCTCTCTGTCAAATAAATAAATAAAATCTTTAAAAAAATTTTTTTCAGTATATTTTTTCCAATTGCTTCCATGATCTATGCATTCCAAACACAAATTATTTTTCTCTATTATTTCAAATATGTATTTTATGATCAATACCATCTAAATGGAGATATACATTGCTTTAAAAAGTAAGATATAGCAAAATATTAAGTCAAATTACATTTGAAATATGCTAAAGAGAAATTATAAACATTCTGAAAACAAATCCTTCTATAAAATGAAGAATGATTTTATGTGTCTAATCACAACCTTATTTATGTTTTATAAATCTCTGTTATCACACATTATATGTGTTTAAAGAGAATTTTGAATTCTGATGCCTCCAACTTTGCTTTTCTTTTTCAAAATCGCTTCGGCTATTTTGGGGCCTTCTGTGGTCCCCTACAAATTTTAGAATTATTTGTTCTAGCTCTGTGAAAAATGTTGGTGGTATTTTGAAAGGGAAAGCAAAACTGGAGGCATCACAATTCTGGACTTCGAGCTATATTTCGAAGTCGTAGTCATCAAGACAGTATGGTACTGACACAAAATCAGACACACAGGTAAATGGAACAGAATAGAAAACCCAGAAATGGGCCCACAACTCTATGGTCAACTAATCTTCAACAAAGCAGGAAAGATTATCCAATGGAAAAAAAAAATAGTCTCTTCAACAAACAGTATTGGGGAAACTAGACAGCAACATATGGAAGAATGAAACTGGACCAATTTCAGGGCACCTGGGTAGCTCAGTAGGTTAAGCATCTGCCTTCCACTCAGATCATGATCAGTCAGGCTCCTTGCTCAGTGGGGAGTCTGCTTCTCCCTCTCCCTCTGCCC